CACGACAGGGTATTCAAGAAAAGTAGCAGCCAAGATGGTATCCTTATTCAACCTATCAGCAATGATTGGTTGAATAAGAATCATGGGAACAAAGAAAAAATGCCAAGGGATTTGACTAGCATCGCAGTGAAGACGGAAAACTGTAACATCAGCATCTGTCAAGTAGTGACCCGTCTGTTCATGGGCATCAAACCACTGGGCCATATGAAACTTCATGTTTGGTGTCCCCTAGTATGAAAATCAATGGATGCATTATGAACTCACCAGGGTTTCTGGATCAAGACAAACCCACATAGAAAAAAACAACATAATCTATACCAGATCAAGAAACACACAACGGGTTGTAAGGCACAACTTGTCATCCCCAGGAGTAGCCAGCTGAACCAACTCATCAGCCAACCAGCCGCATACCACTCTGGCCTTGGACAATGCTGCGATCAGCGTTTAACATGTTTCCAAGTGAATCCAAAGAATAATTCATTGACCATTCAGCGACCTCAAGATGGAGCTGGCAGATTTATTGTATGACAGGCTGCCCTGCAGTTGATGGACGGCAACGGCAGATAGTCCTATTTGACAGTGCTCCCCAGCTACCCCTTGGACCCCCCCTGGACCCCCCCTGGAATGCCCCTGGACCCCCCCTGGTGAGTTTAACGGAGTTTAACGCAGTTTAACGCCGAAACCTTTCCCAGGATAGACTTTAACGCAATTTAACGGGATTTTAACGCCATTTTAACGCAGCCCAGGACCCGGCTGGCCTCCAAATCCACCTTTCAAACCCAAGTCTTCTGGCCAAGCGCACTTCCAAATTGGACCAAAATCCCGCAAATTCCAATGAAAATGAAGGGAAACCTGTGAAAAACCACGTGTTTTTCATGGTGTTTGATCAGAATCCTCAAAAAACACATGCTTTCTTCACATTTTGATAGGAAATCAATCAGAGCTAATGAAAACATTCCAAAAACACGCGTTTTTTTCGAATTCTATCATAGGGTACACCCCAAACCATGGAAAAACACGTGTTTTTGTAACTTCTATGAACTTGCATCATCAAATGTGCCTAAGACCATGGAAAAACACGTGTTTTTGTTGCTTCTATGGAATGGCATCCGTCACATGTGCCTAAAACCATGGAAAAACACGTATTCTTGCAACTTCTATGAAAGGGTATCACCCAGATGTGGTTAAAACCATGGAAAAAACACGTGTTTTTGGCTACGTTTATCAAGGGTGTCGCCCAAATGTGGTTAAACCCTACAAAAACGCGTGTTTTTTGATACTTTTATCAAAGGGTACCAGCCAGATGTGGTCAAATCCATGGAAAAACACGTGTTTTTGCTACATTTATCAAAGGGTAACACCTAAATGTGGTCAAATCCATTGAAAAACACGTGTTTTTCTATCCTTTTATCAAAGGGTACCACCCAGATGTAATCCAAACCCCAACGACTTAAAAGTTCAACTTTTCTTACTGAATCTAATGGGATAGGCAACCCCCCAGGAGGCCCCCCTGGCCCCAACATGGCCCAAAGACGGCGTGTTCATCTGAGCCCTGGCACTAGGGCTCCGATGAACACGCCGTTCTCGGCCCAACATAGGCTCAACATAGGCTCAAGATTGTTTTTCGAGAGCCCAACATGGTGCAACATGGGCACAAAAACACGTGTTTTTGGCTACTTTTATCAAAGGGTACCATCCAGATGTGGTCAAATCCATGGAAAAACACGTGTTTTTCCTACTTTAATCAAAGGGCCTTTGGTGGCAGCATTGCGCAATAGACCCATGGCACCACACCACAGGTTGGAAATCTAGATTGCTAATCAAAATGTCATGTTGATTGACTCTGATAGAGCTAAATCTTGTTTGATGGATGCCTGCAAGTAAGGCTGTGCACTCATGAAGGATAGTATTTGTCTCTGATCCTGTGTGGATTCATTATGGTGTTTCATTGGTATGGTGATGATTCCGATTAAGATCACTCAATTTCAATCACTATGCCATGTCATCATTCCCAAATCTCAATGGCTCTGAACCTAAACCTTCACCAGAACGGCCCCGGGGCCCGAGACCAAACATAGGATAGGATTGGGGGTAAGACCATCTTGAGAAGGCTATCCCCTGAAACCATCCTGAGGATAGACTTGGATGCCTAGGGTACAACCAAAAATGATAATTCGATATATTTCAATCATATGTCTGCATATGTCTGCAACCATTCTGCAACATTCAAATCCCAAAGAACATCAAAGAACGGCTTCCCACGGAATTCTAGGTTGTACATTCTTTTGGGCATTCTTTCCAGGACTGCCTTTGGACATTTTGGTCTTGGAAAATGTAAGTTGATGAACAATAGGAACCAAAAAATGTAAGATCCCTGTTGTAAGGTCTTCAAAACCTGCATTTTTGCAGTGGAACCTGCACCTCAATATCACCAACATACATTTTCCAAGGCCAAAATGTCCAAAGGCATTGCTGGAAAGAATGCACAACAGAATGTACAACCTAGAGAAAACCCAATCAAAACCCATATAATACCAGAATTCCCAGGGAATCCTAGGAACAAAAAAATGTAAGATCCCTGTTGTAAGGTCTTCAAGACCTGCATTTTTGCAGTGGAACCTGCACCTCAATATCACCAACATACATTTTCCAAGGCCAAAATGTCCAAAGGCATTGCTGGAAAGAATGCGCAACAGAATGTACAACCTAGAGAAAACCCAATCAAAACCCATATAATACCAGAATTCCCAGGGAATCCTAGGAACAAAAAAATGTAAGATCCCTGTTGTAAGGTCTTCAAAACCTGCATTTTTGCAGTGGAACCTGCACCTCAATATCATCAACTTACATTTTCCAAGGCCAAAATGTCCAAAGGCATTCCTGGAAAGAATGCGCAACAGAATGTACAACCTAGAGAAAACCCAATCAAAACCCATATAATACCAGCAGGGAATCCTAGGAACCAAAAATGTAAGGGTTGTAAGGTCTTCAAAACCTGTATTTTTGCAGTGGAACCTGCACCTCAATATCATCAACTTACATTTTCCAAGACCAAAATGTCAAAAGGCATTGCTGGAAAGAATGCGCAACAGAATGTACAACCTAGAAAAAACCCAATCAAAACCCATATAATACCAGAATTCCGAGGGAATCCTAGGAACCAAAAATGTAAGATCCCTGTTGTAAGGTCTTCAAAACCTGCATTTTTGCAGTGGAACCTGCACCTCAATATCACCAACATACATTTTCCAATGCCAAAATGTCCAAAGGCATTGCTGGAAAGAATGCGCAACAGAATGTACAACCTAGAGAAAACCCAATCAAAACCCATATAATACCAGAATTCCCAGGGAATCCTAGGAACCAAAAAAATGTAAGATCCCTGTTGTAAGGTCTTCAAAACCTGCATTTTTGCAGTGGAACCTGCACCTCAATATCATCAACTTACATTTTCCAAGACCAAAAACCCATATAATACCAGAATTCCCAGGGAATCCTAGGAACCAAAAATGTAAGATCCCTGTTGTAAGGTCTTCAAAACCTGCATTTTTGCAGTGGAACCTGCACCTCAATATCACCAACATACATTTTCCAAGGCCAAAATGTCCAAAGGCATTGCTGGAAAGAATGCACAACAGAATGTACAACCTAGAGAAAACCCAATCAAAACCCATATAATACCAGAATTCCCAGGGAATCCTAGGAACCAAAAATGTAATATGCAGCAGCCAGTGTTCCCCCTCAAATCACAACCAACTATTGAAGCCAAGAATACTGGATAATACTGGTGTGCCTAGGTTATCCTAGGTTAATGTATGTCAATGTAATATATCATAATATATCATATTATATCATATTATATCATATTATATCATATTATATCATATTATATCATATTATATCATATTATATCATAGCATATAGTGGTACCCCCAAAAGGATCAAAAGGGAGGGGGGGGAAATGTAAGTTACATTTTCTCCCTCCCCCCCCATTTCCATAGATCACTACGTGTGTGGTGCATTCCTGGGGAATACCTTGAAATTGCTTTGACCAGGACCATACCTAGGGGGGTCAGAACTTACATTTTTCACCCTTCCAAAACCTGAATTTCTGGTACCTTAGAGATTTTAAGTTACAATTAACCCCCCCTAAAAACACCCCTAAAAATGTAAGTTACATATAGTAGGGTCCCCCCCCAAAAAAGCTAGGTTAAGGGGGTGAGGATCCCGCAGCAGCTTTCGAAGGCCTTTGAACCGCAAAAGGCGTCCCGCCTGCTTTGCCATGGTACCTCCCGAAGCCCCACAAGCGGTTTCTATTGGGCTTCGAAACTGCTACGTGGCGCGTTTTCAGCTACCTCCCCAGGCCCCACAAGCTGTTTCTGTTGGGCTTCGAAACTGCTACGTGGCACGTTTTGAGCACCCCTTAAAAGCCTCAAAAGCCACAAAAGCCCCGCAGCAGCTTTCGAAGGCCTTTGAGCCGCAAAACATTCCGCAGCAGCTTGCGAAGGCGTCCCGCCTGCTTTGCCATGGGGCCTCCCGAGGCCCCACAAGCTGTTTCTATTGGGCTTCGAAACTGCTACGTGGCACGTTTTTGGATATACGCATTTGTTTGTTTAAAGTTTATTCGGTTATTCATTTATTTCTATAGATACGTGTATATGTATATGAGTATATGTATTTATATATATATGTTTATATATATATATATTTATATATATATATAGATATATTTATATATATATATATGCGCATTCCTTCCTCCACCCTTGAAAAGGGGTAGGCGGCACCAGGGCGTTAGCCCATTTATTGACTGGAAGGTGTACCTATCTATCTATCTATCCATCCATCCATCCATGTATCTATCTATAATACAGTGTGTGTGTATATATATATATTTATTTATTAAAAAAGGATGCGATCAACGGCCACCCCCAGCTCTTGCCGCCACTGCCACCTGATCTGGTCCTATGGCCCCCAAACGCCTCAATCTACCAGGTTTCTCAGTGAATGTGCCAAACGTGCCAGCTTCCACAGACTGTCTCATTAAATTTTGCAAGGTCGTCGCTAGGACCTGAGGCGAAGTTCACGAGTTGAGTTGACCCCAGCGGAGGTTCAAACGGAGAAAGTGCAAACCATGGGGGCTTGGCCGTATATTTTTTTACCGTATTTATACACCCATTGATTCCATCTGATTCCATGTGATTCCTCCATTTGGATATAGTTGAAATATGACGGCATAGAAATCAAAGGGTTCATGAAAGTGGGATCCTGCATTGTTTGTCCAACAACTGCCGCCAATCTTGGTTGGGATCAGTAATTTGCAGCTTGTTTCCAGGTTGCTTGGGGCTGATTTTATAGTCTGCAGGTGTAGCACTTTACTTCGCAATGATGCCGGGGGATTGAAACTGCCAGTGATCTGGAAGGTGGTTTCTACCCCAAGGAAGAAAGTGATTCGGAAGCATGGAAACTAATTATATACAAGGTGGGCCCACAAGATAGCTAAGTTGGGTTTATAAACCAATTTATATCTAGGGGGCACCACCTTGTAGTTGAAATAATTCAGAACAGGAAACCAATGGAAACAACCAACAGGCGAGACTAGAGATGGAATTCCAAGATGGGCAATTCTTGCTGGACACCAGACTCCCCACCGCTTGGATTCCATGCCTCCTGCGCAGACATGCCCAGAGCTTCCGCCGCATCTTTAGCGTGTTCAACGCTTGGCTCCTACATTGCGAATCGCGCGGCAGGGGTCACTGAACTGTTTTGCCAAAAATAGCGAAATCAGGTTTGAAGCACCCAAAATGTGGATTCTGCCATGAAAAACACCCGCACTGTGGATTCTACTATGAAAACCACTGATTGTAATCTCACAGAAACACATCTTCCGTTAAGAACATGTTAGACACCTATTTGCTGGACTCGCCAGTCCACCTTAAAAGTGCTACTGATCAGCAACCCCTCAAAATCTCCCAGCAAAATCAGCCCGTGAACCTTCCAGGTGGTGCCCACTAGTGTATACATTAGGTACAAGGTGGTGCCCCCAAGATAGCTAAGTTGGTGAACATAACTCCAATTTCACTATGGTTTATAGGTGTTATATCTATAGTTAATGATAATGAGGTTTATAAACCAATTTATACCTAGGGGGCACCACCTTGTATGATAGTTGGATAGATGTGAACAATTCATCAACCATCAAACATCATCAAACATCATCAAACCTAACCGGAAACCCTGCACCCGGTTGCCTCGCTCAAGGTTGCCAAGGCCTCCTCTGCCTTTTCCGTAACTGGAGCGTCTGGAGCGTCTGGAGGCACTGGACCCTGGTCGCCATCCTCCAGGATGTCCGCCATGTCGTTGTGGACCCCCGCCCCGATGCCAATGAACAGCCCCGCAGCAGCGGTGCGCGCAATGACCTGGTGAGGATACCGATGGGATTAGTAAGAGGCTAGTTACCAAGAACCCATACATACAATGTGAGGCCTCCAATATAGCTAAGTTGGTTTATAACTCCAATAACTATGGTTTATAGTACTTATAACTATAGTTACTGGGGCTTATTATGTAACCCATTTATAACTGGGGGGCCTCACATTGTATGATACCATGTGGGACCCCCAGGTAATGCTTGTTGGTTCATATAAACCTCTGTAATTATATAGATCCACCACAGGATTGTTCAGGGTAGTGCGATTGGAGGCCTAGGTGTGCACTTCCATGATCACAGACAACAAATTGACACATCTAACTGTATGTATATATATATAGAGAAGCAACACAAGTCTAGCAGTGAATCTAGCTATGTTAACCATTACTTAGCCAACCAACTGCGGCACTACCTATCATCATTGTTCCTAGTTGTGTGTCTTTCCCTAGCAAAACCACACTATTTGATACAACCTTGAACCACATTACCATATATTGGTTCCTACTGTCCCATTATACCCCTGCTATATCCCCATTCTATCCCCTATGATCTCCCCATTATATCCCCATTATATCACTATATCCCTTACATGGATGATTAATTGATCGTTTGCCATTATATCCATGCTCAATTAATACATATATGACATAGATCTCCTCCCCCTTGGTATTACTATCATGGTTTTTCACGGACCGTGGACCTCTTCGCACCTTGGCACTCTCCGCCATGATCTTTTGTGCAGCATCTCCAGTGCCATACTTTCCGGCCAAAAAAGCTTCCTGCACCGCCTCCTGACAAGGCTTTGTCTGAGGGGCTTCCTCCATAGCCATGTCATACAGTTATTGGCCCTATAGCCAGTTATAACTGGCTTATTATGATATATATATATAACCTTGTCTACGGGTGTTATAATTATAATCCCATTTAAAACTGTTAAGAGCCCAATTGTAGCGACCAATGGTGCAATAATGATTAACATTGATAAATCATTAAGAAGAATTGGTAACCTATTTTCAGACAAACCCACGTGTTCAGATCTTGGGGAAGACGAGTCTTCCCTCAAACGCCCTTCATGGACCATCTAAGGGGTGCGGATTTTCCTTAGAAGCTTTGGAATAGTCATGAACTAAACTCATGAACTAAGCCCTATTCATAGACCACGTAAGCTGGTTCATCCCTCGAATCCTCCATAGTGGACAAGCCTCATGGAAACCATGGACTGGATTACGGCACTGATAGCTGTGATGAGCTAACTACAAACTGGGCCCCGAAACGTTATTTATGTTGGATGATAGCCCAAGTTAATTATAGTTATTAGCTGTCATCAACCCTTATTGGAGCCATAAACCAACTTGGCTGTCTAGGGGGCTGCATTTTATACTATAGGGGTTAAAAAAATAAATGCGGAGGAATATTTTGACATATAGTGGGAAAATTGTGGTAGTCAACATCCCCCACTTTTTGGTTTTTGATATTGGGCAATATTGGGTATATATCTCTGGCAATGGGAATAAATTTACTATGCCACCCGTTTATGGTTGAATTCTGGCACGCTTTACGTGTATGGGAGAGTACGTCTTAACCATAACTAAAACGTGGATCTCCAATGTACCCCATGCTTCTGTAAAGGAAGGGATCCGCGTTTTACGTGCGAACAAAGTTTATGGAACCCTGCGGCTAAGGAATCCAAACAGATACAATTGTAGTCTACACAACTCCACTGTATGTATAGTAACTGCTAGTTGGTGATGAATCTCATTCCCTTGAATCCCTTGGCTGAATTTTACTGAACCAGAACCATGGCGATCTCAGCAGGCCCCTGAAAACAAGCCGCTTTTGAACATGTTCTGCCTTCCTAATTTGGGGAAGGGTCTTATCCAAATTGAAGATCCATGGGCCCCACATGTGTTTGCATGTTTTTGCATTCTTTCGTACTGGCGATCTGTTTCTTGGTCTCTTCCAGCAACCAAATGGGTAACCGCGGATACTTGATTGCTGAGAACATAGTATGCGAAAACTGCAAGTGTGGAACAAGGGACTCCAAATTCGTCAGTCACACAGATCTCTTGGCACAACCCTCCATCCATTTCATCAAACTGCCACCAGAAACATGAAATTTATATCCCAGATCTTCAAGACAAAACCCTACAGCCCCTCTAGGTTCACCCTGATTCTGTTTATATTGCCAGTTCAGGATATTTCAGGTACCTAAATTGGAGGTACCTACCACAAATACAGCCTATTTTGTTGGTCTATGCAAGGGAATGTCCCCACCAAATGTGACCTTCTGTGGTAGCTCCGGCCCCTCAAATGGCCAGAAATCTGGGCAGAGCAACACGGCCCAGCGGAAAATTTTGGCGCTCCTGAACCAGTTTCTTCAGATGTTGCGGGATAGGTGTCTGCCAGATTCTGGCCACTGGAATGCCCGCCTCGATCATGGGCACCCTCGCTTTTATCTGGCCAGGCGTTGCGTGCTCAAGGTGTCATGGGCATGCGAAGACTGAGAGATACTAAGATACGACAAATCCGCATCGAAAAGGAGCGGATCTCATAGCCAAAGTTCACCAACAAATGCTGGAGATGACACCAATGGAATCTGAGTTAAAGCTAGCCGCTAGAAGCATTGTTCCAGGATCTAAGCAAAGGCTGTACATCTACCAGCACCATAGATGGTATATGGGAACTACTTCACCAACCTGAAATCAGTATTGTTGTTGTTTTTTGGGGGAGTTACCCTGCTAACCATGACTTCTATAGTGGATACTGGTGGGTTCTGCCGGTAGGCCACAAGAATAGTGTATAAACAACTATTAAGACCTATATCCTACATGTTCCTAAAAATCAGCTAATTTGTAGGTGAATATACCAACACCATGGAGTGTCTGGGGTAGACACCCCCGGCCACTAGCCGCGTGCACCTTGTTCAGCAGAAGATCCGCCGGGGGAACCTGCGACCTTCGGGTGACTTGCTCCACAAAGCCCTGGCCCGTGAAGGATCTCCTTGGGCTTTCGATCGATGAGGCACTCGGACATTTTTTTGGAGGCATTACCCATAGGATCCATGTATGGTATATATGCTAACATGACTGGGGTATATTGATGGGATCCATGTTACCATATAGCAGCACCATGGATCCTATGGGTTATATAGATGAGGATTAATTATTTCTAGTTGCATTATTAAGAGACATTCAGATATATCTAAAAAGATAAACAAAATCTTGGCCCCTCGCAGCTATAATTTCGCCAGATGCCTGGCTAAACATAGCTTGAAAAAGCTCTGGACACCGGCATTCATGGTGAATTTTCCAAGTCTTTGATCATCTACCCTCTGGCACTTTGACACGTAGCTATAGCCCCTTTTCAGCTCCACGATTTACCCGTTATCATCGACCATCTCCCCTGAACATCCCTGAAGGCAACTTGTATGCGTGTGTGCATATTATATATATATATGTGTATTTTATATGATTATATGTCATGAACATTTGTGCAATATTATCATTGGGATATTCAGTTGTGTAAATATAAATACATGAATCCATCAATGTACAAGTGGCGACAATCATGCTAGGATAGTCCTGTAGAGTGGGATTCACTGCTGCTTTGTAAATGGGTCCAAAACAAGGAGGGCTAGCCGATGTCAATCTGAAAGGGCTTAGCAAATGAGCACCCTCATAAGCCACACATGATCTTGGAGGTTCTGAAATACCACTAAATTGTTTTAGGAAGTGACTACATCATGCTAGATTCCTGAGAACCGGCATGATTATAATATATTATATATATAATTATAATGATTCAGGGTCGAGTTTCTTCACACTTTGTAGACTTTTTTGGATTATAGAAATAAAAATACCGAGAATCTGGGCCTCCAACTCGGCCAAAGGTGAAAGCCACCCAAGGCAAAACCAAGAATAGTCGTTTTACTACGACAAAATACATGGAATATACATGGAATATAATGAAATATTCTGATTCCCAAACCGTTCGCAAAAAAAAAAAAACTTTACTTCGTGTGATCCCCACCATGACATTTATACATTTTCTTACTGGCAAATCTTCTGGCATTCTATCTGACATATCTTCTGACATTCTATTTGACATTCTATCTGGCATATCTTCTGGCATATGATCTGGCATATCTTCTGGCATATCTTCTGGCATTCTATCTGGCAAATCTTCTGGCATTCTATCTGGCATATCTTCTGGCACTCTATCTGACATATCTTCTGGCATTCTATCTGGCATATATTCTGGCATATCTTCTGGCATATCTGACCTATCTTCTGGCATATTTCTGGCATATCTTCTGGCATATCTTCTGACATATCTTCTGGCATATCTTCTGGCATTCTATCTGGCAAATCTTCTGGCATTCTATCTGGCATTCTATCTGGCATATCTTCTGGCATATTATCTGGCATTCTGGCATATCTGGGCATATATCTGACATATCTTCTGGCATTCATTGGCATTCTATTTGGCATTCTATCTGGCATGGCATTCTTCTGACATTCTTCTGACATTCTTTCTAACTTCTTCTGCACATTTTGTCCCATATCTTCCTACATGAGGTCCGGCAGGGAACACTTGGCGTGGATACTCGCGGTTGAGGTCCGGCAGGGAACACTGGGCGTGGATGGTCGTGGTTGAGGTCCGGCAGGGAACACTGGGCGTGGATGGTCAGGGAGGAACGACAGAGGATGACAAGGAGGACGAGGACGACGACGACGAGGACGACGAGAGGAGGAGACGGAGGACAGGAGGAGAGGAGGACGAGGCAGGAGGAGGCAACTGACATAAAATCTAACAACCCTCACCTGGCAGGTGGGGAAAAACTGTGATTTACAGCAGACGAGTGATTCCCTGTTTCCCAGGCCGTCCAAGCAAATCATGGCCAGTCTCAGATACCCTGCGATTTTCTGAATGGCTGGTTGGTGTACCTTCCTAATGTGGTAAAGCCAGTAATAAACCACCCCCAAGATCATAAATTGAGGGTATAAACTTTCCTAAAATGATAGGTTTATTGTTGGCTTTACCACATTATATCCCTTTGTGCAGTACAGTTATGTTGTGTCTTCCTCTTAACAGTTACAAATGGGATTACAACTCCTGCAACTAGTTAGTGTTGTATCATTACAAGCCAGTTATAAGTGTTAAGCTTTTGTGAAGCGCCTTGCTTTATTTCTATGTCCCCAGTAGTGCCATGGGGATGGGCTCTCTTAACCCATGCCGGGCCGTCGCAGGTTTCCTCCGAGTCTCTGGATGCTGTTGGTCAATCTGCGGCCCTCTGGGCCAATGCCGTGCGTTTTGAGGATGTCCGCTACCTGGTGAGAGGATCTCGTGGATCGCAGTGAGTGGGGGAGTTATACCCCAGCTATAGGTGGGATAACCCTAAGGGACTTATGAACTATAGGCTTAACCTAGGCTTAACCGGCTGACCCTCCAGGATTTCAGCTGCGAAAAAACACACTGTCAACACTGTCAACACTGTCAACCCATCCGAAAACACCATAACATCAATCTGGATGATCATTCCCAATAGGGTGGACAAATAAACATGACTTAGCTCGGTTTGACTTCCCAATGTGGTGCCCCGCAGTTGTAAGTTGCTATGTAAAGCTACCATACACTAGGGACACATCACCTTGGACATGTCATCAGATTTCCAAGAATTACAATCACTAATAATCTCACATTGCCTCACCCTTTTGAATGGTTAAATCACCACGATGAAATCACAAATTCAAACGCTTCAGATGTTGAAAAATCACCATTTTCCGCTTCACCCATCACCGGAATCACCATTTTCAGCACCATCTCCAGGGCACCTGCTTGGCCGTGGGCCGATACGCTCTTTGAACCGCCTCATAGAAGCGCGTGTTGGGACCCTTCGACGCATACTCCATGAGCTGCCGTGCCGACTCCTTGCTGAAGATTCCAAGGTCTACGATGAGCTCCTGATAGCTCGGAACCAAAAAACAGATAGAATGGAGATTGAAAAGGAACATGATTGGGATATCATTCATTGATATCATAGTATAATAGATGTCTGTATTTATACATATGAGTATATTATCATTATATTATATTATATATATATACACAACGTATGCTATACCCAGGAGTAAACAAGGTCGCAGTCAGGTTGTTATAATTTAATATAATTTACCCAAATATATCCTCTCCACCATCCTCAAACCTGGTCCTCAAAGGCCTTGGCATTGGCATTTCCATTGCTTGCGTGGCGCCTCGCTTGGTGGATCAAGCGAGGAACCTGTCCTGGCTAGGCAGGGCCAAAGGTCAGCTGGACATGGAAAGGACAACAAAAAAAACATGGCATTCAATTGGATTCACCATGAAACAAAATGATAAATTCCGTGTTTTTTGGTCCATGAATTTAGAAACCAGGGATCCTGTAGGGTATCTATCACGATGGATCCCTAGCCTACTAGACATATCCAATTGCACACATTAAAATGTCTCAACATGACTGGAGTCATGACCATCATTTCGCTCAGGTTCCGCTACGGTTGAAGGGTTTACATGTTTATATGCTAATCTATCAACAACACAACACGTTTATCAAAGTAAATGTTCACCGTTCTGCAGAAGGTCACCTGTTCTTGGGGAGGTTGGCTGAATACCCATAATACCCTCCAGTAAATTAACATAGACCCTGCCAAATGGGGGTTGGAAGATTAGTATCCACTAAAAATTGGTGATTTTCAGGGTCTATGGAAATTACCAAGAGGGTATCTGGTTGAGTGAAATGAATTGACTGAAATGTTCGGCCGTTTGGGAATAGTCATCCATTATTTTCTAGCCGGATTATCCCAGTGACGTCGCAGTCAGGTCGTTGCAATTTATCCAGATTACATCCCATTGCATCCCATAAAAGGTGCATGATATGCCTTTAAACCCACTATCACTTAAGTTTCCCTAAAATGTGGCCCTTCCAGTTACAAGTTGAGAAACATAGACCCCTTCAGAATACTATAGTTGTAAGTATTCTAAACCATAGCTACTTATCGGAGTTATTAAACCAGCTTAGCTATTGTAAACCTGGTTGGTGGTTGAGCCACCCCTCTGAAAAATATGAGTTCGTCAGTTGGGATGATGACATTCCCAATTGAATGGAACAATAAAATTCCATGGTTCCAAACCACCAACCAGAAACAGATGAAATCCCCATTTTGAATTGACCTGCAGATGACCCCGTGGTTTCACAGCCAGATCGGTGAACCCCTGGCTGCAAGTGCATAAATTGACCGGAGATTCGAAATCATCCTATCTGATGTATTGTACACATATATACTATGTATGTATACCAGTAGTACCCGCACGAGGCGGGGCGGAAGTTGCCTTAAAGATATATATATATAAGACCTTTCTCATCTATAGAACTTGCATGCGCCGTGCGCCAGCCAAGCCCGTGCGTGCGTGCACTGTGCGAAACTGATGTCGTGTTTCACATGTCACACTTGAAGCCCCACGTCACACTTCACACTTGACAGTCTTCACACTTCACACCGCACCCTTCGCAGTCAACACTTCACACTTCTCAGTTCACACTGCACTCTCCCCAATCCACACTTCACACTCCACACTTCACAGTCCACACTTCACACTTCTCACTTCTCATTGCTTTCTTCACACTCCACACTTCACACTTCACACTGCACTCTTCACGCCCCACACTTCACACTTTACTCTTCACACTCCACACTTCATCTCATCTGAGCTCTTCTCGGCGCTTCTGCACGTCAGCAAGGTTGAGGGTAACTCATGTTGATTCTTCTACAGGCCAAAAGGCGTAGACTATAAAATATTTACAATATTGAGGTCATTAATGCCAAGCCTTGATGCATTGCATCAAATCGCAACGGCAAGTGTGAACATGGTGTAGTTGTTACCTGCCAAGGAGATTCACGCAGTCCAAGCTCGACAGCTGCTTTTTTCTCTGCGCTACACTTGGTCGTCTAGGCTTTTGGCAGCTTTTCGGCCCGCACTGGCACGAAAGGCTGGAGAGCTTATCACGTTGGAAGCCTGGTTGGCCGTCATGGCACTTCACGAAGCAAATCAGGCAAGAAGTTCTCACTATCCGCAATGACATTGCGGACCCAAGCTGCATCTGCTTGCGACAAACGACATCCTGCACCTGCTCGGTAAGCACTCAACAACATGGCCGCAGCGTGCACACCAGCATCTGTCAGGGCAACGCAGCGCTGTTCTGCCAAGGTATCGTCTTGTTCCGTGCAAACAGTTGCCAAGGCTTCGAAACAACCAGCGCAGAGTCCATATTTGAAGTAACCCAAACCAATAGTCCTGCGCTCCTCGGTTGGGATGCTTCGTCTGCACGCGAAGCAGAGTGAATTTTGCAACGCGTCGTAGACGTGCAATGCAATCTTCAAGCTATGCTTGAGAGCTGCCATTTCTTCGAAACCAATGTCAATCCTCAAGTTTTGCGACTCCAAATTTCCTTCCTCTTCCACTTTGCGTCGCAGCAAGTTTCTAAGGTTGGCGCTCTGCAGCACACATGCATTCGTAGCTGTCGAAGCAGCGCTCACGTTGCTGAGCGCATGGAGATCCAGCAATTCGAAATCGACTGCCAACCGCCAGAAGTCGCAAGGTCCGATAGCCATGGCGGTTGCCCTCGTGGACCGCACTGTCGCACGAGGACGGTGGCAAAGCGATTCTCTAACAGCAGAGCGTAGCTGCAATATGAGTCTCCTGTTGTGTAATACAGTAAGTAGAGACATGGAGGTATAGCAAGGTTATGTGCGTCACGGCATGAACTAACTGTATTCCGTGCAACTTCTCTTACTGTACTTTTATCCTTGGAAGCCATCACTGCAAACAGCTGCAAGCACGTCAAACCAGAGATAGGACATCGATGCTGGCCTTCAGTCTATCATGCATAAACACATCGTTGCAGTGTGGAGCAAACAGTACTTCACATAACAGGAAACATCCAACAACCCATGCACCCATCCTGTTCTGATTCGCATTCCCCAGTTTCTTCACAAACTTTGAATTCTTCATGTGTCCCTTTTTTACCATACCTTTTTTTGCTTGGCATCTATGAGAAACTGTTTTATTTTTGCATCAAACACCATTGAAGCTACACGTCTTTACTTCAGAAGTAAGCACTCAGATGCAGATCATGGCCCTTTTTCATCCCACTCTGAATCCTTGGCAACAATCATGCCTTGATCACGCGGCCCGCACTGGCAGGCCATTGCAATGGCGGAAAAAATGCGTGCAATGGCGTCAGAAATTGCAGCTCCAAAACCGGATCTCGACGCCAAAGCGACAAAAAGACGATTTTGAAGCACTTTTTAAAAGGAATTTTAAAAGGAAAATTATTAGCGCCAAAATTGAGAAAATCTGCTGACAATTCACTTTCGCAGCCTTGATGCAGCCGTTCCAATACGATTTACGATCTTCAGCTGCAAAAGACAATAGTATTACGCATGCAGCCGCTGCACCAAGCAACCTTGACGCAGCCACTACAATGCGATCTGCAGAGGCTGAGTTGCAAAACACAATAGAACTACGCGCAATGGCGTCGGAAATTGCAGCTCCAAAACCGGATCTCGACGCCAAAGCGACAAAAAGACGATTTTGAAGCACTTTTTAAAAGGAATTTTAAAAGGAAAATTATTAGCGCCAAAATTGAAAAAATCTGCTGACAAATCACTTTCGCAGCCTTGATGCAGCCATTCCAATACGATTTACGATCTTCAGCTGCAAAAGACAATAGTATTACGCATGCAGCCGCTGCACCAAGCAACCTTGACGCAGCCACTACAATGCGATCTGCCACCACAGCTTCAAGAAACGCATAGAACTACGCACACAGGAACAACCACTCGTTGCAAAACACATAGGAGGAACAATTCGCCACAGAAAAGACCGCAGCCGCAACCGCCGCACAGACGAGGTACCTTTCATCGCCGGCTGCAGCCACTTTACACGGAAAAAACACAAGGTTTCGTGCTCCGGCTTCCTCCCCAACACAAAGCCCATGCAACATAATGCAGCCATTCCAATGCGATCTGCCGCCACAGCTTCAAGAAACGCATAGAACTACGCACACAGGAACAACCACTCGTTGCAAAACACATAGGAGGAACAATTCGCGACAGAAACGACCGCAGCCGCAACCGCCGCACAGACGAGGTACCTTTCATCGCCGGCTGCAGCCACTTTACACGGAATTACTTTACTTCGTGTGATCCCCACCATGACATGTATACATTTTGTTACTGGCAAATCTTCTGGCATTCTATCTGGCATACCTTCTGGCATTCTATCTGGCATACCTTCTGGCATTCTATCTATCATACCTTCTGGCATTTTACCTGGCATATCTTCTGGCATTCTATCTGGCATATCTTCTGGCATATTATTTGGCAAATCTTCTGGCATTCTATCTGGCAAACATTCTGGCACTTTATCTGGCATACCTTCTGGCATTCTATCTGGCATATCTTCTGGCATTCTACCTGGCATATGTTCTGGCATATCTTCCGGCATTCTATCTGGCATTCTATCTGGCATATCTTCTGGCATATTATCTGGAAAATCTTCTGGCATTCTATCTGGCAAACATTCTTGCACTTTATCTGGCATACCTTCTGGCATTCTATCTGGCATGCTATCTGGCATATCTTCTGGCATTCTACCTGGCATATGTTCTGGCATATCTTCCGGCATTCTATCTGGCATTCTATCTGGCATATCTTCTGGCATATTATCTGGCAAATCTTCTGGCATTCTATCTGGCAAACATTCTGGCACTTTATCTGGCATATCTTCTGGCATTCTATCTGACACTTTATCTGGCATTCTATCTGACACTTTATCTGGCATTCTATCTGGCATACCTTCTGGCATTCTATCTGGCATATCTTCTAACATTCTATCTGGCATATCTTCTAGCATATCTTCTGGCATTCTATCTGACATTCCATCTGGCATATCTTTTGGCTGGCAGGTCCGGCATGGTCGTTGAGGTCCGGCAGGGAACACTGGGCGTGGATACTCGCGGTTGAGGTCCGGCAGGGAACACTGGGCGGTGATGGTCGTGGTTGAGGTCCGGCAGGGCACACTGGCGTGGATGGTCGTGGTTGAGGTCCGGCAGGGAACACTGGGCGTGGATGGTCGTGGTTGAGGTCCGACAGAGAACACTGTGGATCGCGGGTCGCAGTTGGACGAGGAGGACGAGGAGGACGACGAGGAGGACGACGAGGAGGACGAGGAGGAGAGGAGGAGGAGGACGAGGCAGGAGGCAGGAGGAGGCAGGAGGAGGCAACTGACATAAAATCTAACAACCCTCACCTGGCAGGTGGGGAAAAAACACAAGGTTTCGTGCTCCGGCTTCCTCCCCACAACATAGCCCATGCAACATTCATGCGGCCATTCCCATTCGATCTGCCACCACAGCTTCAAGAAACGCATAGAACTACGCACACAGGAACAACCACTCGTTGCAAAACACATAGGAGGAACAATTCGCCACAGAAAAGACCGCAGCCGCAACCGCCGCACAGACGAGGTACCTTTCATCGCCGGCTGCAGCCACTTTACACGGAAAAACGCAAGGTTTCGTGCTCCGGCTTCCTCCCCAACACACAGCCCATGCAACATCATGCAGCCATTCCAATGCGATCTGCCACCACAGCTTCAAGAAACGCATAGAACTACGCACACAGGAACAACCACTCGTTGCAAAACACATAGGAGGAACAATTCGCGACAGAAAAGACCGCAGCCGCACCCGCCGCACAGACGAGGTACCTTTCATCGCCGGCTGCAGCCACTTTACACGGAAAAACACAAGGTTTCGTGCTCCGGCTTCCTCCCCAACTCACCACTTCCCTTCCTCACCGCTTCCCATCGTCACCACTTCCCATCGTCACCACCTCCCTTCGTCCACTTCCCTTCCTCACTACTTCCCTTCCTCACCACTTCCCATCGTCCCCACCTCCCTTCCTCACCATTCCCCTTCATCATCACTTCCCTTCGTCACCACTTCCCATCGTCACCACTTCCCTTCGTCACCACTTCCCATCGTCACCACTTCCCTTCGTCACCACTTCCCTTCGTCACCACTTCCCATCGTCACCACTTCCCTTCGTCACCACTTCCCTTCGTCACCACTTCCCATCGTCACCACTTCCCTTCGTCACCACTTCCCATCGTCACCACTTCCCTTCGTCACCACTTCCCTTCGTCACCACCCGTCATCATATCACCACCCTTCATCAAAGTCAATTCCACTGCTTCTTATTCTTTTGTTATGTATTGTTATGTTATGTATTGTTATGTGATCTACCACCCTGCATCATTTCAAGTCGCAGAATTCTATTTGTCCGTAACACGGAAGTATTGCTTCCCAACTTCCTTTGATAAAACATCTATGTATGCATCTCTCTCTATATATAAAATATTCATTATAAATATAATATGTGAGCGTATGCATACATTTATATACATATATCTATATTCTGCAATACTATGTATATAATTATATATATTTGTATACATTGCCTATATATAATATATATATATACAGTATATAGTGTATAGTGTATATATAAATATATTTACCTTCTTTAGCCGTTTAGCTGGGTAGGGAATCTGCTTTACACCTTCATGACAGAGAAGCAACAACATCTTTAAGTATTTTAGATTTTAAACATGTTGATCCACCTTCATCAAGTTTTTCCAGGTGGCGGGAGAGCACTCTGGGAAGGATCTGCTGTCCATCTTGGAGCCTTGTGGCCCTTGGAACCCCTGGAAGCAGGGGCAGCAGCACAGCCTAAATCAAGCAGTTTCTTACCATTGTGGAGGCCCAGGATCAGAATTTTGCAGCCAACAAGTGTTCTCGAGCCATGTGGCTGCGACATGCTGTGATGTTTTTTTGTACCAATGGCTTCAGCGGGGATCAAATTGCGTCAAAATGGGGTGAAAATGATGAATTATCCCATCATATCGGAATATAACCATGGGAATAAATGAATCATCTGCGGGGATAACCCAAAATGGGAATATAACTATAACTGTAAGATAATACAGCATAATTCTGGGAATATAACCAAATAAATCAAATGGTCATGTCAGTCCTGGGAAACAAACTATCTACAACCTAACCATACTGAACCACACTATTGATGGCTTGTTGAGCCATGATGTGTTTTTGGTCCCTGGCTAAACAATGCAACTTTTAGTGAGATGGAGTGGTGGTTACATAGCTCTTGAACATGGAGATGTTAATATACCCGGCCTGGTAAACATACAAAAAGCTATTGAACATGGCCATTGAAATAGTGAGTTTTCCAATGAAAAATTGTGATTTTCCATAGCTATGTTAGTTTACCATAGGGTACTTAGTATTTTCATGATGATATATAATATATAATAATACTATATTAATATATAGTATATAGCTCTTATATATAATATACTTCCTGGACGTCCATTTGTACTAGAAAGAAGTATCACGAATTGAAAAGTTGACGTTTCAACAATTTCGATGACGTTTCACAAAAAAGTGGTCGCCTTCCAAAAAAGTAAACGATCTTGCTAGTGTATTTTTGCAAAGTGTACTACTTTTTCAAATTGCGCTCGAGTTGCGCAAAATTGCGCTCGAGTTGCGCAAAATTGCGCTCGAGGTTGCGTTCTGTTTTTCTGACCGTTTGTGCTTGGTGCCCCTAAAAAGTAATACGTTTCAAAAAACGATACGAAGATCACTATTTTAACAAAATTTGAACGATTTGCCATATTTCACGCGTTTTCATGAAAACTAGTACGAAACCATGGGGGGGTACTTTTTTCTAGTACGATTGGATGTCTAGGTTAGTATTTTCAGGATGATTTTCGCTTCAAGTTGCAACTTAGCTTTCCAGAGGAAAACCCCATGGCCATGATCCAACCAATCCCAGTGCGACTCTCAGGGGCTCGCCTTCAGTTGAGGGCCACAGTTAACTCCAATAACTCACGTGTTGGTTTTTGTTGGTGATATACCGAACTAGTTTTCATGGGTGAATCTAAACCAATAAACATCACATTTTGGGGGCACCACCAAACGTAATTGCTTGGTTGCAACCCATTTTGCTCCAGATCTGTCCCTTTGGAATATGCCACAATGGGACAATGAGATGCGCTGATGATCTGATCGTCATTTGTTTCAACCCATGGTCCGTTTGAAAGCGCTGCATCTTTTCAACAAATCATAGTGCAACTCACCAACCAAACATTGTCAAATCAACAAAATGCTATTCAGAACTAAACCCACAAAAAAAAGGACTAAACAATGCACCCCCAAGAATATGGAACAACAAATAAACTCTGTTGAACAAGACATAGCCCCAGCAAAGGTTTGAAAGTCATGCCTTCCCCGCAGCAATCGTTGTTTATCTCCAGGTGGGACCGGCTCCGACTGACGTCGCGCCAGCGGCTGCACCTTCTCTGCCACTGAATGATTGAAAGACATGACGACAATGGTATATACCCTCTGGTAATTTAACATAGCTATGGAAAATCACCATGTTTCATGGGAAAATTCACTATAAATGGTGATTTTCAATAGCTATGTTAGTTTACCAGAGGGTAAACATCTGGATAAACGATAAACTTACCAATGTATTTTAACATGCGGATAAACAATAGTAATTGTAAATAAACGTCTAGTAAATTGACATAGACCCTGCCGGGAGCTAGGGGTTGGAAAATTAGTTCCACAAAAAGAACACAAGTTATTTCCACGGTCTGTGTGAATTGGGAGGTACAACCTCAATTAATCATTATCATAAAATCAGAAAGTTATACCTGACTGGGAATTTCACAATGTACTGTACTGGTTGGTGGTTTCAACCCCTCTGAAAAATATGAAAGTCAGGGATGATTATTCTCAATATATGGAAAAACATGTTCCAAACCACCAACCAGTTTAACATTCACGGTAATCGTGATGTTCCAAATGGTACCCTTGCACCTGGCGCCGCAGAGTTTTTTGGCGATCCCAGTTGAGTCTGGTCTCCTTTGGGAGCTATAGTTTTGTATACACATAGTCACATAGTCATACTATAAATATAATGTTAATTTTCGCGAGCTATGGGGTTTTAGGGTGTTTTGCAGACCCTATAGGTTTAAAACGGGTTTGTCACCCGACAACGGTTTTAGAGCATATTAGCCGTGAGGGTAAACTTGGCACAACGAGAAATCAGCAAAAATTGGTGTCAGCATGGGCTTGCAAGCCTTGAATTTGTCAAAAACAAAAGGGATTCCATATGATTTACATATATTTAATATCACATGTCTATAAATATATATAGTTTTATAGTTATGATAAAATATGTCACTATCACCCGACTTTCATTGTCATATAGATAACTATTACTATCATTTAACTATACTCACTAGCAGTTGGCAGATCTTTTAAATATACTGAACCAGTTCTATGGTTTGAATTCTGGTTTCATCCAGATATCATCCCCAAGAGACTCAGCCACATTTTTGTCGACATACATTGTCTTTTCCCTTATAAGTGCATGGCTCACATGGACAAACATCTGGGTCTTCCTTTTTGCAGCTTTTTTTTATTCGGTGAAAGTGTTGTGTTTTCCAAGCTATCCAATCCTGGGTAACAAATACTTCCCGGGGTTGGGAGGGAACAAAAGCCATGTACTCCTACCCTTAGACAGCATTTGCCCCTGATTGTGTTGAATGATGGTTATTTTCACCATATCTGCTGATTTCAATTGCGCGTTGGATATCAAATACATTATTCCCCCTCTCATTGATGGAAAATAATGTTGAGATATCGCAAATTGCAGAAATAAACAAAAGCATGATCACACATGCATTAAAAAAAACAACAACAATATGTTATGTATCCCCTCTTTGTTGCTTCAAGTCTAATATGCTGCATCAACATATTGAAGTCCCACGTTTATGATCCACTTGGAGGGGCCGTTGAGTTGACTCGTGCCCAATTGATATTCTAAGCGACATCCAGTTAATCATCAGGCAACCTCATGGCCCATCTAAACATGCCTGCTAGTAGCCCCCTACATTTTTGTTTCAAGACATGTTTTTGTTACAGCTATGTTATAACGGGATTGTACCAGGTTCTATCTTTTTGGGGCTTCCTATTGAACTGTATATCATCCAATATCTTGATACACCAAGCGATGAGCAAAAACAGATATAGGACAGTGGGACCTCCACAGGTGTTGCCGCTGTAAACGCTGTTCTTAAGGTGTTGCCTTCATGCAACGCCGTTTATGCGTGAGACCTGTCCGCAATGCGTGCCCGTGCCGTGCTGTGCGCCAAACAGCTCCGCGGATTCACCAATCATGTAGTAATTCACCATCATAAACTGAGGGTTTTGCGCTTCAGCCCTTTCTGAAAAAAGGGCAAAAAGACTTAGGAACCTTCAAGTCTGACGTTGGTTTCGCAGTAAAAAAAACCTGGAACCTGCAAGGTGGTGCCCCCTAGATATAATTTGGTTTATAAACCCCATGAACTATAGATATAACACCTATAAACTATAGTTATTGGAGTTATAAACCAACTGAACGCTATCGACTGGGGGCACCATCATGTGGAGCCCAAGAAAAACACATTTTGGATCATCAGAACCATCAGAGTCCCGGCAGCGGCACGGCACGCGGCATCGATTCCGTGGTGTGATCCCCAGGACCATGCTACGCCAGGCTGCCGGCCCTTTGCGAGACTTGAGAATGGCGATGAAACAGTTGAAAGGAACACATGTATTTACTTGAATGTGATACATAAAAGGATATATACCTTAACACATACCCAACAATCTGATATGTGGGTTATATAAATTCATATATACACAATCAACAATGGCAATTGAAAGATCATTGATCATAGGATGGTTTACACGGAGTTCTTCATCGTCATGCTTACCAAATCATCCGTTTTTTTCGCAGCGTCGCAGCAATGGCGTTCTCGTTCATGAGATCTGAGTTTCAGTGTACAAAATGACGTCGTTCCGCGGGTCAAAGAAAAAGGACACCAAGCCCATTTTTGATGCTGAACATCCCAAGATAATTGCTATGGGATAATCCAAAGCTTGAAACCTAAATAGGGTTGAAACATGTTGAATCGGATTATGCCAACGTTGCCGTCTAGTCTAGGGATGTTTTTGGGGAATGTTTAGCGGGTGAAAACAGTGGTACATAATGGTACCTTTTAGTACAGATCAAAATTATAGCAACAACTTATATAGCTGGATGTTCATCCCACCACCGGTTCATTATGTGAAAAGAAAACGTGGGTTTTACCCCTTCACCATCTCTGAATTTACCCTTAAATAGGAACATATACCATGCAAATCGGTCCTTGACCATTTTAAATTTTGACCCTTCAAATGTACTGCTTGGCTGCCTTTGGCAGCTTGAACTGCTGGTGTTGGAATGGGAGCCATAAGCCTTCTACAAGATGGTGTTTAAACCTTCACAATTAATGACCAAACATTCTGAATGCCAAGGCACACAGAACGTGAAAGGTGGAATCCCTGAATGACGCTACTACCCTGTGCGTTTTCTAGGAAACTCGTCAATGGTGAGTCTCAAGAACAAAAGTGGTCAGCGGTCAGCGTCTCACGCTTGAGATCTCTTGTCTTTTCCAACTCCAGAAAAGACGTGTATGATTAAGGTTTTACACATGGTTATATTATCATATTAACTACTATAGAATCTGAATCTATACACATATATATATATACATATTATTGATATATGCTTTGGAAAACATAACTGGTTGGTGGTTTCAACCCCTCTGAAAAATATTAGTCAGTTGGGATGACTATTCCCAATATATGGAAAAATAAAAGTCATGTTCCAAACCACCAATCAAATAATATGATATGTGTTGTATTTTGTTGTCGGTCTATCTTCAAAGCCACAGTTCGCCACAGTTCGAGATCTGTGCCCTCCGCTCCAACACCGAAAAACGTTGCGTGTCACTTTTCTCACGGGCCATCAGCAGCCAGACTCGGCTGCTGATTGCAAAGATCTGATGGAGGACAAGATGACATACCTCACGCGACATGGCTCCGGTGGCAAATCCGTGTGTGTGTTTCTTATACCCTCTGGTAAACTAACATAGCTATTGAAAATGGCCATTTATAGTGGATTTTGCCATTAAAACCAGTGATTTTCCATAGCTATGCTATGTTAGTTTACCAGAGGGTAATGGGGCCAATCGTCTATCTGTCTGTCTGTCTACCTATCTATTTATCTATCTAATCCAACCCAACCCAATCCAATACAATCTACTATCCATCCATAATATGCAAATTCACCAGCCTGATTTATTTCCTGTTTTTGTTTGGGATGATTCGGATGATTTCCCTTCCCATCCTACTAGTGACATCCAAGCGTCATTTAGAGAATATCGACAGCCAAGCGAGATGCCCAATGACCAAAATCATGGCAGTCAGACTGCCAATCTCACATACACGCGGCAATAATAAGTTCTATGTTTTGGGTTTATCGAAGATCAGCCCAGAGATATAGGAACCCCCTTCATTCCAACACACTCCAGTTCCTGTTTTTGGGTTTATCAAAGATCAGCCCACTAATATATAGAAATCCCAGATCATTCTAACAGACTCCAGTTCCTACTTTGGGGTTTGTCAAAGATCAGCCCAGTAATACAGTAATATAATATATATATATATTACAGTATATAAATATAGAAATCCCGTGCTCCTAACATGTTCTAACTCCCAGCCAGCGGGGAGTTTTTTCGCTGCGGTCAAGAGACGTTACCCAAATCAAGACCAAGATCACCTGAGATTGACCGCTGGGGTCAGGTGGTTTCAACGATCGTAACGAGGCCGGTGGAAACAAAAAATCTGCCTGAGAAAGCAACAGAATCAACAGAATCCCAGAAGAAAATCCGAAAAAAATGTCTCCCTAGATCATCATGAAAACCATCCAATCACCATCATTACCCTCTGGTTATGACATTCACAGTTCGCCATGGAAAATCACCATGCTATTAATAGGTAAACCATCTATTTCAATGGGCCATCTATACCATGGCTATGTTAGTCATAACCAGATGGTAACCATCATTAACCAAGATGAATCAATCACCCAGGTACTCTTGAGGTAATCAAACACGGCTTGTAGGATCCATCTTCAATCCCAAAAGCTCGGAAGTGAAATCTTTTTCGTTCCTACAAAGAAGGGGCCCTCCAGTGATATATTTTTTGCTTTATAATTTCCATTCACTATAGTTAGTTATAAGCTGGTTGGTGGTTGACCTACCCCTCTGAAAAATATGGAAGTCAGTTGGGATGATGACATTCCCAATATATATATATAGATATGGAAAGTCATAATCCATTCCATGGTTCCAGTCACCACCAACCAGATATATTGTTATTCCAATCATTAACCATTATTAACCATAGATTAACCATTATTAACCACCAACCAGTAAGTTGTTCCAAACCACCAAGCAGTAAGTTCTTTGCGTATCATAACCCATAGTCGGAGTTCAACTCAACCACCTCGGTAGCATCCGAGTGGCCGCGGTGATGTGCTTACAAACTTTCGGGCCTCCGAGTTCACCCCCAAGGACCTGGCGGCTGGCGTTTTTCATGAAGCTGTGATGATTTTTTTCAGCTTGCCCGGCTGTAGGGAATGAATATATAGCAATGATATAGGCATCATGATGATGATGATGATGATGATGATGATGATGATGACATTTGTTGATGATTAATTTGATTATCATTCAAACAATTGAACACAATAGACATATGATGGTTTGATGATAATTCCAACAATTGACATATTTTCAGTCAGAATGAACGTGATAGGCGACCCGCAAGATTTGTTCAACGAACTCCTGACTTGTTGTTGCTTGGTTTTCTTGCTGCTTGAATTGGTTCAAAAGGTGATAGAGATTTAACTTGCAACAGCCATAGTCTTGGATAGGTTTACTTGGATCCCCAGGTTGGATTGGGCCGTTTAGCACCCATCCGGCCAAGATGCTTTATTTTTGCACCAAAACCTCTATAGAATATTTATGCCCACAGGGTCTCTACAATGCATATCATTTGACATATCATCCATTATCATACTAAGTCACATTGGAGAAGCTGGGTCAATGATGAAACATGTAGATCTGATCCAAGGTCTGATATAGCACGCAACTTTTCCACCAATCGCATTACGTGAGACGCGCAGTCAGCGCAGTCGACTGCGAATGGTCCCGGGGCTGGTCCCGCCCGCACCGCCCGCCTTGCGTCGTAAGAAAAGGATGGACATGCATACGAGGGCGCCTGGCCGGTATGATCATGTGAGGTCAATGTCAATGTTCGAAGATACGAAGAGACCTCTAATGTATTTTCTCATCTCTATACATTTATATAAATATATGCATTATCTATACAATTATTTCAACAACTATACATTCATCAAAACAAAATCAACCAACTATACATGTATCTATACAGTATATGCATGATTCATTCAGGAATTAATGACATGTGTGTAAATGTTGTTTGACAAATACCAGGCCCATGCAAGTTCCTCCAAAGTTTGCCGACAGGCTGCCGGCTGGTAGGAGTTACGGTTTTCTCTGTGTTTTGTCCCGTGTTGGGTTCACAACTGGATTACCCTCTGCTTACAGGTTATGATTATAGTATCTAACATTATGGTTTTTCCAGTATAACCCAACTGGATACCCTGTATACATTGGAATAACCATGTTAGATACTGTAAGCAGTTGGGTTTCTAACACGGTTATTCCGATGTATACATGATGTATACATGATTTATGATGAGTTAGCTATATAAACTGCAGGTGATTGTCCATAGCTATGTTAAATAACCAGAGGGTAGCTATTGTTTATGCATGGTGTTGAAATATCAATCATGTGAAATAACTATAGCTAGATGGGCTTTGAACCAACAAACACTACGTTTGGGGCACTACATAGTATAGTGCGTTCGTTGCACTCAACAAAAAGCAACTTCCATTTGAACGACCACCATTCTACCAACCTTATATAATCCAAACCCACACCGTTGTCATGACTTGCTTTGGATTTGAGCACTGTCACTTCTGGTTTCGAAGCCATAGACCAAGCTACACGAGAAACATGTTTAATGTTCAGTCTATGAACAATTATATCAAAGAATGGACAAAAAACACACAGTCACAACAATCGATACATCCAAGCATTTGACTCCCTTGTTTGATGGATTGTAATTCCATCTTACGTTCATATAACATTACCCATAGGATCCATGTATGATATATATGCTAACATTTGGGGTATATTGATGGTAAATGTTAACATATATAGCATACATTGATCCTATGGGTTATACACCCAAATATCAGCCATGGTCTTCCCAAGGGAATTAAAACACACAGGTTTCGGTTTCCTAAAATGCACCCCAAATCATCCATAGATCATGAGTTAATCATGAGTTACCCTCTGGTTATGTCAAAATAGCTATTGGAGATGGCCATTTATAGTTGATTTACCCATTAAACATGGCGATTTTCCATAGCTATGTTAGTTTACCGGAGGGTAACAGCCATGACGGCTTGGGAATCCGTCCATTTTAGGAACCCCCCCATATGACTGGGACCATACCATGGATGTCGCCCGCTCGCCTGCGCTAAAAATCACAACGCTGTAGCCCAAGTCGCCACCTGCAAGCGGACCCATCATGGAATCGCAGGGTGGGGGTGAAAGACACGGGTCTAACCATGGCATGGATTCACTTGCATAAGTTGCGATATACATGGATATGGGGGCCCCTATAACCATGCTATTACATATATATATAATTATATATATATATGTATACTTATTATATAGTTTATATATATATATATATGGAACTGCACTGCAAACTAATTACCTCGTTAGAAGGTCCACTTCCCCAACAGTTGGTGGCTGAGAAAGCCCCATTCATAAGGAATGATGGGGGTTAAGAACCCAGAAACAGAAGGTCTTGTTTGTTGGGGTACATCTTGTGTGGGTGCCCTTGCTGATCCAGCAGCTCACCGACAAACAAAAATGAAACTTACAGTAGCTCTGCCCGTAGCGACTTTTGTGAATATCCTTTATAATGCTTTTTGTTCGTGCTCGAAGTTATAATTTCATACCTGGAACCTCAAACAACAAGAAATAAATGGTTGTTTCCCTATTGTAGTGAAGAATCCCTTCAATATCCCTTCATAACACATGGTTGTTTGGGAAAACTACTCATTGCTGGCTGTCTGGGGGTAAATCTCCTCAAGTTAAGCTCACAACGGGAGATCATCTTCTCCGAAAATGGGCAGAACCAAATTGAATCCGCAAGTCTTCGGACTTCTTTGGGGTGCCTAAAAATACTTGTTGATTCGTCCACGCGAATTTTTTAAGGAAATCAGGGCGGACCTTGGCCCATGAATTGGGCCCAATGGGACCAGCCAAATGGGCTGGGCATGAGATAGTCCACCACTTCGGAAAAACATGATCTATTCATCAGCCATTCACCAGTCAGTTTACCAGTTGACCAATAAAAGGCCCATCCCCCGGGAAACCGCTGGCCTATAACGATGAATTTGCCACCTCCGGTGTTCCATTCCTCAAATCTCGCCTCGCAGCCCAGAAGCAGCATTCCACAGAACATCACATCATATCAGACCCGCGCTGAACATAAACCAATTTTTGGGGCTGAGTGATGAGTGTTTCCCTTACTACTTATTACTTACTACCGTCATATCACATCTACATCTACCATCAAAAACACTCAAAATGTCGCTGCACAGCTGATGGCATGAACATCCGTTGGCCCACACAATGCCCTGAACAACTAGTAAACACACATTTATCTACTACAATTCTGCGGAAAACACATAGATTTCCTGGATCAAAGGTCTAAGTTAGAATCTCAATACATCCCAAAACATCTCACGTCCAAAAAACTGGTTCTGGGACATTGAACCGCAATTTCAAACATGTGGAGGTTTCCTAGGTCATGGATGTATCCCCGAATCATCCAAGTCATTGGACCAAATTTTAGTAGTGAGACCTACAGTTTTGGGGCTCCCCCATTTAACTATAGTTATAACTATGTATCACGAACCATGGTTATTGGATGTTATATAATATATACTGTGTATATATATATATAGATAAGAATGGCAATTGGTCAAAACCCTGGTACCTAGTGAACCCCAAGTCATAGCTGGGATTTATGGATGTGAATAACCCACTAAAAATGCTATCTATATAGGTATTGACCCATAGCCATATTAAATAAATAACCTGCTATATCTCCAGCTTTTTGGGGATCCCCCGTCGTGTTCTTGGTTACCCTCTGGTAAACTAACATAGCAATGGAAAATGGCCATTTATAGTGGATTTTCCCATGAACAATGGTGATTTTCCATTGCTATGTTAGTTCACCAGAGGGTAAAGGTCACCCTTTTCAGGTCGCCTTGCCGGCGTACTTCTCCTGCCACGCGCTGGTGCGTCCCTGGGCGGCCCAATAGATGGAACCGATGGTCCACGGCAAACCGAGGCCCAAAAACCTCGGACAGTCGCGGTTTGCGCAGAGCGCAGAGCGTTATGGCCCAAAATAAATGGATCTAAAAACCATAGGAAACCATAGGAAACCATAGGAAACCATAGGAAACCATATAAAACCCGAGTAAAAATGGATAAACATTAGAGTTATGGCCGATATACCAGTTCTAAGATGTTCTAAGTACTTTCACCAGTCACCCCATGAAAATGAATGTATAATCCCATAATTTTATAACCAGTTATAAGATGTTATATGTAATAAATGGCATAGCCATGGCCATAACTGTGGGGATATGGCTGGATCTTGGGCGTCTTGTTGGGATAGAGTTCTAACTCTGTGGGACAAAAACTACAAGGTGGTGCCACCCAAACGTTGTGCTGATTGGTTTATAAACCCCATGAACTACTGTATAGATATATCACCAACAAAAACCATAGTGAGTTATTGGAGTTTTGTTCACCAACTTAGCTATCGACTGGGGGCACCACCTTGTAGAGATAAATCATGATAAATCATGGCATGTACAAATCGAGATGATCCAGTTCTGGATGTGTTTTTCTTCGGATATGATCAACATTAATCAACTATAAACTTCTACATGGCAAATTGTCGAGGTAAAAATGTAATGTGGTTAAAACAATAATAAACCATCCCCCAAATCACCATTTCTATGGGTGGTATAATCCATTCCCAGTCATGGGTAGTTTATGACATTGTTTCAACTACACCGGAAAAATTAGAGAAGCATGTTTCATGTCTAGTCACAGTTTATGATCCAACTGGGGAGTTTCACCAATTTCACAGTTTCACCAGTTACAGGTGTTACCTGACTAAAACCGACCAATATGGATCTTAGAGATGAGGCGATAAAACAATCCATACGGGTTACCCGGCCTGGTAAACATACAAAAAGCTATTGAAAATGGCCATAGAAATAGTGGATTTACCCATTAAACATGGTGATTTTCCATAGTTATGTTAGTTTACCAGAGGGTATGTCTGAAGATAGGTGATACCCCATTGCTATTTAATGGAAAAACACACATGATTTTCCCCCACATGATTCTTCGGGGCAGCCTATGTTCAGAACAAACCCATCAGACTTGACCTATAAGCGTAATACTTGAAATGCTATTTGAACATATGGCTTAAAGTATGGCTTCAGTGCTTATATAATACCATGAAATTAAGCCATAAAAATCATATTTTCCATAAAGTATGGGTTCAGTATGGCTATCATATTTTCCATAAAGTCTGGGATCTACATGGATCCACACAATACGGGCTGATGCAGTGATCCTCCATCTTTCAGCATGCCCCCTATTTGATGATATAAGTGATATAAGGCTTATTCCAGCTGGTTTAATTGGGCCAAAGTGTGCTGCAACCAAAGTTAATTCACCATACTTCACCCATTCAATGGGAATTCTCAGGACCCCAGAATGGAGCTACGTAAACGTACCATATTATGTTTTGCCATATTTTGGGGATATTCCCTGAAATTTAGGACTTAAAAAAAGGCCTCCGATCAATCCCTTCCTGAAGCCAGGAAGACCCATGGTACATTTACGGATCACCTACCACTGATGGATGATCCCTAGAGGATGAAAAAACTTGAAACCATGACACGTACGTGCCGATTTTATTGAAATATGGTAGATCCCATTTATGGAAGATATGATATTTATGGCTTAATTTTATGGAAAATAATAGCAAGCATGAAAAAATATAGCAAGCATGAAAAAAAACATAATCAAAAAAAAAGCACATGTCTGCATGTAATCAAACATGGGGATATCATCTTGCAACCAAGGAAACACACTTGTATTCATTACCCCCCCCTAACCACTTGAAACGGGGTTAGGTCCTTATACAAAGGTGGCCCCCTCTAGTTATTTGTTGGCCTACAAATGTCATTAAGTACTTGGTTATATCCCCCAAATCAATCTAAGCCTAACTGAGATTATAACACAGGATGTGTTCCACCAAGAAAAAATAGGAATGGAAGCTGCAAAAAATGAGATGACCATAATATGATGGATATAGTGTATATAGTATATATATATATTATACGGGCTGATATTGAATAGGATATAGTAAGATGAAATTGAATACTTGAAAATCACAATGGTAATGCAACAACAACATGATACTATTGAAAAAAAGGCGTGCATCACAAGGGGGCTATTGGGGAGAGTTTCAACTAGGACAAATTCACACAATAAGGAGTTTTACTTGTATTGTTTGTACGGGGGTGGTTACATGGATACCCAACTTTTGAAAGTAGTGCCAGCTGGGATCTTCTTTGAAGCGCCGGTTTTCAGCGATTTCTATTTGGTTGTCGGTCAAAACTTGTAACCCTGGGGCACATGCAAACATGTTCTTGGAAAGAGTTTGGGCTACTGGAACCGTACCCATATCAACAAAATCCCAAATCTGTGGCAGTCTTTCAAATTTCACCCATGCTCACATCATTAATCAATCATATACCCATGATTGAGATTTGAAGCCCATGTTTGGTGGCCAATCCCTACTAACATCATACGGGGGTGTCTGAAAATGAATTATTTTATTACGTGATTATGATATTCTTAAACATGGTTGTAAGTGAGTGGTACGAACTATTAAAATATGGGTGGTTTCTGACATTGCTTTATTTCCATTACTGTTTACAATCTCATCTAACCCTCCAACCTCACGGCAACCTCCCACACAAACGCTCGGATGGGCAAGGGACACGTTGACTGAGTTGCTCCCCGTGACGTTGCCGATGGAAGCATCTGCATAAGGATCCTACGCAACAGCAACGTGGAGTGAAACCATGGTTACAATATGTTTGTTGGCTTGTAGTTAACCATAGTACAATGAAAGCAAGATGGCCTAGCCATGTTATGGTTGTTGCTTAACCAAAAAAAAAATGAATACACTAGTTTTAAGATGTTATAAGTTATAAGTATAATGTAGTATAATAAACCCAATGGTTATTAGAGTTATGTGGCCCCCAGGCCCCAGACTTAGCGCTATCCTAAACACCGGCCCCACATGGTAATATATCATGGCATATCATGGTTAATGTAGTGGTTGCTATAGTAGTCAATCATTCTTCATAATGGTTACCGTCTGGTAAACAAACTGTTTGCCATGGAAAATCACCATTTTTTCATTCGTAAATCCACTATTTCTATGGACCATGGCTTCCAATTCGCGAACTGTAAACGCAGTAACTGGACGCTAACCAAGTCTTTATCCAAGCGGTCAAAAAGTGGATGAAATATTATCCCATTGAACCCCCATGATATCACCAATTTACCGAAATAACAAATCACGCTTGGTTGACAAACATAAAAATAGTCATGTAGAAAATCTCCAGCGTCATCTTAGATAACCAAACGCGAAATGGCGAACATGTGATGAACGTGGGTGTGTCTAAACATATACATCTGAGCTATGGACATCGTCAATAGCTCAGGGGATATGGACATCGAACCACTGGATTTCGGCTCGTGGACCACTGGAAGTTCTGGTGAGGAGCATCACTCACGTAGATATTAGGAAAAGCCATGGTTTCACCTTCGGATAATGATCTACAATGTGTTTTTTTTTCCACGTCTATGTAAACGTTTACCCTCTGGTTATGTCAAAATAGCTATTGAAAATGGCCATTTATAGTGGATTTTCCCATCAAAAATTGTGATGTTCCATAGTCATGTTAGTTTACCAGAGGGTAAACATTTACCCCAGGGTACCCATGTATAAACAACCAGCAAAGGCAAAGGATGACCTCTCCTGTTCAGCCGCAGCTTTCGAGGCGAAGGTATCAGGCAAAGATGTGCCTAAGGCAACCTCAGAAGCCGGAAAACACAGAAGGCACCATGTTTAGACAGGACATCCCAATTTTCTGGACAGTGATAGGGTCAAACTCATTGACCATCGGTGCTTCGTTTTCCTAGAATTCTTGAACAACTGTTCGCCAACAAAATCCTCAACGGTGGTCTTTTCAACCCTCAAAACATGTATCAATTGGGATCATCCATCATTTTTTTCCTTCGCAAACAATGAAAGCACGCACCAGATTTATACCGTGGTAGCCAGCTATGGTGCTATTCAATCCCCATCTGGAGGTTTCTTAAAATGGGGGATCCCCAAGTCACCATGGGTTTCCATACTGAGTCATAGTCATCCATGACGTGAATGATTTGGGGCTACCGGGCTACCCACCATTTTAGGATATTTTAGGACACCTCCATATTCATAAAGATAGGCCCAACTCGAGATGGTCTTAGTTCCTACAAATATCCCATAAATGTTTGTAAAAACATAATCCCACACATTTTACAGTAATACAGCCACAAAGTATGTCAGATCATTTCAATCCTGTTGTCACATGATTACTATCCTGGTGTCACTGAAACATACTGAGTCACAACAGTCGCCCCTCGTTTTTTTCGCCTAGCTGCGAGAGTGATGGCTGTCACAAAGTCCGGCATGTCCAGGACGCAGCCCACCAGGCCCTGTGTTGGTGAAAAACTCACCGGTTTCGCCCCAGAAGTTGCCGCAGATTGCTGAGATTCATGGCTCAAGAAAAAAGGAACCAAAGTTCTAGTAACGAATGCATACCGAAATAGGTTTATATTTGTTGATGTAGATTGTACAATACTATATATCAAAAACATATATCATCATATATCATCATATATCATCAAATATCATCAAATATCATCATATATCATCATATATCATCATATATCATCATATATCATCATATATCATCATATATCATCATATATCATCATATATCATCAAATATCATCATATATCATCATATATCATCATATATCATCATATATAACCATATATCATCATATATCATCATATATCATCAAATATATTGTAAAATACTATTGTATATGTGTATATTGTACATATATCATCATATATCAAAGACATCCACATGGTCACTATGGAACACAGTACATGGAGTTTTTTTGTTATCAGAAACGCAATGGAAAACTGCATACAGCACTTACAGCACATGACATTTGGCTTCAAACAGATTCCCCAGATATCAATGGTCAGGAAAATCAATGGTCAGGAAAGTACACTCCCTAAATCTATGATGGAACTCAAAAAATGCCAAGTTCCATAGGAAAATTGTCTTCCAGACCCCATTGTTCGGGTTCCATGTTAAATTTTGGGGATGTAAAAATGCCAGCACCTGGCCAACGAACATGGCTCAGATGTTCCATTGATTTCAATCTTTTTTTGGTGTCCCATCACCCCTGTGGTCTCAAATACACTTCAGTTAGGCCCCAAAAAAAGATAGATCGGATACTGAAGCAAGACTTCTAGAAGGGTATTTGACATTAATTAGAGGGAAGGGATTAATGTGATAATCCCGATACTAAACCATCACCAAAATCCCCATGAATGGCTTGTATAAACAACGCCCAAATATTGGATTTACATGGATTTACCACATGATATCCAATTGTACAGTACAGTTATGTTATGGTCCTGAACAGCTATAAATGGATCATAACTCCTGTAACCAAGGCAAAAAATGGTCATTGTAGATGATAAATTTCATGATAATAGCTCCCCATTTCAAAAGTTTCAAAAAGGGACTGCTCCATTGCCAAGAGGATATCCAGAATGATAATGCCGAGGTGCTAACGAGTCAGTTACCCTACCTTTGTGTCATCAAGCATAGCCATGGAAAATCCACTGATTTGCAAATGATGAATTGCCATTGACACCTCTATTTACCCAGCCTGGTTATGACTAACAGTTTGCTATTGAACATGTTTATTTATAGTGGATTTTCCCATGAAAAATTGTGATTTTACATAGTTTTTTGTATGTTTACCAGAGGGTAATTCTGGGGGATTTCCCATTGCTTTTGATGACACCGGATGGTCGATGGTAAGCTGCAAAATATCCCTGACTTAGTTTGGTAATCTGCTTGGTGCTGAAAACACCCTTTAAAACTAAACAAAAAAACATGTTTGTCATCCACCAAAAAAGTATTCAACCACTGTACTTACACTTATGGCCCTTTATATACCAGGTACAAGTACTAACAAGTCACCTCATAGAAATAGAATGTATCTCATCCCATAGAAATAACCAGTTATAACTTATAACTAAGGCCATAACTGTAGACGGTCCGGGTAACATCATCAGACCGAGTGGCAGCCCCAGAATCTTACCATTTCTTTCATGCGAGTCACCAGCCGAGTGAAAGCCCGACATGGCTAGAACTGGTTGTAAATGGTTAGAAATGGCTATAAGGTGATCATATATTATCATATGTTATCATTTCATGGGGTTATACTGACTTATAACTGACTCAAAAAACTGGTAACTGGCCACAACTATACGGCATCTTCGGCATCTTCACCAAATCCGTCGATGGAGGTGGAGCTGCCACTCTGGGCCCCCAAACCGCGAGATCGCTGATGAAGGCCTCAGCCCATGACACTACGATGGCTGGTTTCAGATATTACACTGACGGCCCGCTATAGCCTGTTATAACTGGCTTATTTCATGATATATATATATATATTTAAAAAAAAAATACAGGAGATGGTTCATCCCATTTTAAACTGTTCATGGCCATAAGTCTATCAAATCATCCACTTACCGGATGATAAGAGATGATCAAATAACAATCTCACGATGGTTGATGCACTTACTGTGGACCCCACATGAACCAATCACCATCCGTTGAAAGGATACAATTGCAGCACAAATACCCTCAAGAGTGATCCCCAAAATAGATAAATCGATGAAAAACCAAACAGTGAATGGTTCATGATATCTTATGATATCTTATGATATCTTATGATGTCTTATGATATCTTATGATATCTTATGATATCTTATGATATCTTATGATATCTTATGACATCTTATGATATCTTATGATATCTTATGACATCTTATGATATCTTATGATATCTTATTGAGACTAGCTAAATCCTAAGACCATCCCTACCAAATCCTCGCCAAAGCACGGTCACCACGCCAATAAAGGCGAGGGAGATGTAGAAGCAGGGCCAACCGCCGCAATATTCCTCGGTAGAAATGGTCGAAAGAGCCCTAAGAGATACACAACATTATTTTCAGATGGACACATCATTATATTATTATATTATATTATATTCTATTATATTCTATTAAATTATATTATATTATATTATATTATGTGATATTATATGATATTATTATATTATATTATATTATATTATATTATATTATTATTTGAATATATGTTCATCTTCGATCCTTTTAGGATTGCACATTTCATATTTAGGGGGGTGATAATTCTGACAAAACAGGATCCAGGAACAGCAAGCTGTTCCTCGCCAGTCCAGTTGTTGATCAACATTGTGCCGGCAAAACATGAAAACACTGTACTGCTGGTACATAATCCCTATGAAGATGCATTGACAATTGACACCCCCCAAGTAGAAGTATACATATATTCCAAGACCAAGTATACGATAGTAGAAGTATATATTTACGATTATTTGTGTATACAGTATATACAATCCAACTTTTCATCATGGCATACATGTAAACATCAGCTTTTTATTCACGAACCGGGCCACCAAAAAACGTAGCAGCACCGCCGTGGTTCACCAAGGGTCTACTGGCGGAATCATCGCGAAGATCAGCTTCCAGGGAAGGGTCAAGAGATGCAAGGCCCACTGAAAGCCACTGGCAGGGCCAGCCTGCGGTAACCGAGGAAAAAACCATGGGATACACAGGGAAAAAAAAACAACGTTCCCACTGGTGAATATCACCATAATTCCTTTTAAAACTATGTTTTGGGCGGAACACATAACATAAATTAACACAAGTATTACTGTAGTATGATTAAGCTTATTCTTCAATTTGAGAACAATTGCCAGTTCTGGCATTCCATTACATAGTTTGTTAAAGGATAGTGCGATCGATGACACTCAGCAGCCATCAATGGAGCAAGCAGCAAACATGATCAAACATGCATATAGTATCATACTGTATGCCATTATATATATATATATATACATAACAAAACATGCGCTGAAATTGTTCCCATTATGTATATATATATACAAAGTGGGGCCCCCTAGATAGCTAAGCTGGTTTGTAACTCCAATAACTATAGTTTATGGTACTTATAACCATAGTTACTGGGGGTTATAAACCAACTTATAACTGGGGGGGCCACATTGTATATATATATATATATTATATATATATATGATAAAAACTCCATGCATATCAATTCAATGCCAAAACATCTCGACGATCAAACAAAAGACGATTCCAAAACATAAAGTCTTAGATCCTCCAAGGACCCACAATTGGGAAACAAGTCCTAAGTGATATACATAGATGTATATATATATATATATTTAATATATATATATATATATAAAGTGTAAGGTTTGGGCTCTGACCAGTTGACCGGAGAAGTACTTCCCCCTCCGGCTACTGGATAGCCAACCTTAGCGGGCCGTTCACCCGCGGGCTGCCATTTGCCTGGGCGGCCTACGCACTTGTGCTCTGTGATTCCAGGGCAGGATCACAACACCTTTGCTCGCATTGGTGGTGGCTGGACCCTGATCTACTTGCGCATTGTGCTCTACCTGGACATCCACCTGTACCTCTTGGTCCTGGACAATTTCAACATTTAATTTCTCTATTCTGTTGCGCTTATCCCACTGGCTGTCACTTGTGACCCTGGCATTTGCGCAAATCAGTTTATTTTGATTTGGTCCGTATTTGCATTGGCCTGCTACAAGATTGACTTTCTCTTGCTGCTCCCATTTGCATATTGGACATATTTTTGATATTCGCATCTCCCACTGGCTGTCTACGACCCTGGCATTTGCGATATCTGGCACTTATTCATTTTCCTTTGCATATTGGCTGGTCGATTTTCCTGGTCATTCGCATAGTGATTTGAATCAACTGCCCACAGTGAATGTTGTTTTTGCCAATTTTCATTTACATTTGCGTGTACAATTTCAGCAACGGCTACGGAAACAGCCCGACGCCGACAAAGGCGTTTGAGAGCTCTTGCGAGAAGATCTTGGTTTTTGCACAGAACGGGGTGGAAAATCCTCACTGGCAAGCAACTATCAAGAATTGCAGCAACATTATCGAAACATCACTCCAGGGACACCAATTTCCTTCAGAAAGTCAAGATGGCCTCTTCTGCTATGGAAAGTTATCCTTGGCGTTGTACAACGCAGGGATGCGGACGATTGAACGGCAAACGCCACAATTTTTGTCCTGGTTGTCAAACCCACTGGACACATGGAGTTCGGCATTCAAACGAACCCAAGTCGCCCAGGCGTCAGGAGGAAGACGACCAATGGAACTGGAGCTATCAGAAACAGAAGCCACACAAAAGAGGAAAACAAAAGGGAAAAGACAGAAGCGAGAGCCTGAGGAGAGTCAAAGGGGAAGGCAAAGGCTACAAGAGCAAAGGCAAAGGACGTGGAGGTGCAGATCAGCAAGCTACTGCATCACATCCTGCGATCCCACCTTGGCCGTCGCAGGAGACAAGTTCAGCTGCAGCTCAAGCCCCTATCCCGCCGACTCAAACAGCTGCCTCAGTGTCCATGCAGAATGGCTGGCGGCCATACGGAAGTCATACCCAGACATCACGCAGGCACCAGAGGACATCCAGAAGGCAGTAGAGAAGGCAGAAAAAGCTTCTTCAAAGGCTCTTTCAAAGGATTTGAACAAGGCATCCCATCAAGTGGGCAAGGCAGCACGACAGCTGTCCAACATCAAAGAAGCCAGAGCCTTTCACAGGCAGAACTGGCTCAAGCATCTCCGAGACTCTGTTGCGAGTTGGCAAAAGCAGCTCCAAGTCTTCAAAGACCAGCAGAAAGAGTATGGAGAGCAGATGTCAAAAGCCCAACAGGAGCTGACAGCAGCGAGAAGGCATCTACAGAACCTCAACAAGCAGGCGGCAGCTACAGGGACACCTGTATCAACAGAAGCAGGAGAATCCCATCAAGAACCTACCGACCTGGAAGCATCTGCAGCGTTCGAGGCGGAAGCGCAAGCACTTGTGCAGCAGGTTCAAGACAGCCTTCAACAGAGCATCGCAGCAGCCTCCAAAGAGAACGACGCCATGGAGATCCCATCAGACGAGGAAAACGACAGACGGTCGAAGCGACCTCGATCTATGGAACCTTTTGGTGGACCAGACGATGGATTAGGTGGTGCTCACATTTCATCACCCAGATCGTGATTATTGGCAGCGATGTGAAATGTCCAACAAACGTGAATGCATTTCGCGAGCCACTTCTCAGCATAGAGGCGCCCGAGAATGTTGAGGCCTATTGCAACCTGTCAGGTTTCAATGCAGCATGCACTCCGGACCTCGCCGATCCATCCATCAACATGATGATCAGATGCCACAGCATACACTGGGATCCATCCTTTGTGTCTGAACCCACAGCAATTGGACAAGCCATGCTTCTCAGGAGCGAAGTTCTCTTTGAGATCGGCCACATGAGTCCAAGACTTTGGCAGAGCAAAACACAGAGTTTGGAGCCTCCTTCAATCCTCAAAAAAGCTCCTGTTCCTAGAAAAAGAGCAAAAACAGTGAGTTTTCAACCATTTGCCAATGTGTTTGACGATTACTATACTCCACTTGCTGAACCTCTTCGTGACGATGATGGGGATATTGTTTCATTCATGGCTCGGCGACCAAGACCAAGCGCACAGTCCGTTTCAGATGGCACTGATTCTGACTTCGAAACGCATGAACCATCGTCACCTGCTTCCTTTCCTGAAGAGGCGCTGTGGAGGTCAATTCAAATCTATGATCTCAGATCAAACTATGGCAGAGGTAGAATCCAAGTACGCCCTCCTGAAGCAGCATTTGCAGAAGCGCGTAGACTTCTTGGCTACACTCATCATGAAGTCGCTGAGATCTTCGAAATCACACCCCCACCAGATGATCTTGATGCAGTACATGTTCAGCCTCTTCTCCTGGTGCAACATGATGATGTTCTTTTTGGAGATCATAGGCGTGCTGTACTCATTGATGTCCAACTTCATGGAGCGAACTTCGACTCCACAGTTGAGATTGACAGGTATACGACCATGTTGCCTTCACCAATACATCGCTCAGCATTGCTCAAATTTGCCGGAGTTGCCCAATATTGCCGAGTGAGCATGGATCGATGCTTGCTATGGCATCGTGGCCATCTGATTCCCTTTCAAGCCACGAATCATGGTGACTACATCAAGATTGCAGTGCCGCCTTTTCGAACTGAAAATGTACCGACTTATTTTGCAGTGCGAGCATGTCAACAAGGACTAGATGCAGAAGAAGTGGAAATTCGGTATCAAATGAATCCGAATCCAGAGGAACTTCACACTGAAATTGAGGCTGAGCAACAACAAGGAGATGAACAAGCAGGTTTGCAGACCTCTAGCAACCCTGCAAGTCCTCATTTCAGAAAACTGCATCGAGGTGAACATCATGAAGTACCAGCGTCGGAATTTACCTGTATGTCACCACAAACCTTCCTCCCACATCGACAGCAGCCAGCACATGATCCACCGCGTCAGTCCTGGTTCAATGCACTCCAATCCACCTTTGCCGAAAGAGCAGAAACAGCATGTGAAGAGGAAGGCCCAATTGCATTTGTTGTGACCTGGTATGTCAGTGGGTCCATCGAGCAACGCAGTGAAGAGAGCCGCACACTGCAACTTGACCAATATACCCACCTTTGGTATCAAGATTTGCTCCACCTCTGGCGTGACAAGATCGACCTCACAACGATTGTGAACTGCCGGTTTGTGCAACCTGAACCACCGAGGCATGACACAAGCTGGAACATTGGCCATTTGATCATCTTTCAGCGTGTTGTGCACCCTTATTCTGCAGTGCTCTTGACCATCAGATTCCTCACTGATCGGCGCACTGGACTCAACTATGTTGCAGCGGTACTGAGAAGTCCAACGAGTACCTTCGCCATCAGAGATCTCTGCAATCTTGCTCGAGTTTGCATTGACAGACAATTTGATGTACAAAAAGGACTCCAACATCACCTCCAAGGAGATGCAGTTGACCTACAACACGGTGATGGACTTATCTTCAACGTACATCCTCCCATCATTACCCATCATGTGGGAGATGACCAAGTTGTAGCCCCACAATGGCTACCAGTACCAGCAAACACAGCTCAGAATGAAGACCAAGTCATGATCCCTGATATCACTGACCTGTCCGAATTCACACACGAACTTTTTGAGTATTGGGATGTGCATGCAAGAATAGGCCCAGCGAACATGGAGAGGCTACTACAAGTCACCACCTGGTGCCTTCAAGCCGAAAGAATCAGATCAAATGATGAAACTAGGACTGTCACGCTTGGCGACGACTTCTATGCCTGGGAAAGTCAACTCCAAAGAGCTTGGCAAGATCTCCTTGACCCCAATGCTGATGTCGAATTTGCCATCGTGGATGATCAACCTGCCGGCTTCACTGGAGCGCATGGGCTACACATCATTGTTCACCAGCACCTTCGTCAAGATGAGCGGTCCAGCATCACAACAGTCTTCAATGACTATGTGCGATGTGCCCCACATGTGACAGCTGTGATCCTCCCACACATAGTGGGAACAACAGCGCTGATCCGAGCTGTCAACCGTGAAAATGATTGCCCACCCAGGAATCCATTCACTCTCTGCAACACTTGGCAAGGTGGAT